GGGGCGAGTAGGGAGAGCTATCAGAAAAGACTGAATCCATGATGTCTGATTTCCTATCAAATAACCTAGGTCAGGTAGTCATGGCTGATGACAGCTAAATACAGACTATAAAGTGTTAAGTACCAAGTTAGGTCTGGCACCTAACTGAGAGGCAAAAGCTTCAGGGAGAAATGAGTTGGGTTAAATAAACCCAAAAAGCTGACATGGGTAGAATTTCTTCTGCCTGACCCACTAACAGCTGTGAACAGGACATTTTGGAAATGGTTTTTATTGAAATGCTTCAGTGGGGCATAACCCCTGGAAGCAAGAACTTGGCTCTGAGGCCAAGCCTGGGAGCACTGCAGGGATCTGGGCAGTCAGCTGAACAAGGTGGGAGCGGGAACAGAGCGCAGCCTGGGTCAGGCAGGCGGTGGCGGCAGCTGCTGACCCGAGCAGTTCTGATTGCTGCGTTTGCTCTCTCCTCTTGCTCCCTATAATTAAAGCTTTCCCACTATGATTCTGGCTTCCTGAAGGGAAATTAGAATTTACAAAACAAACAAATAAAAAACAGCAGAGATGCTTGGTTGCAATATACATATATTTTATTTTTTTTATTTATTTATTTATTTATTTTATTTATTTATTTTTCAGGTAGAGTGGGAGGGAGAGAGAGGACCAGCGAGAGAGAGAGAGAGAGAGAGAGAGAGAAACATCGATGCGAAAGGAACACATCGAGTGGCTGCCACCCGCACGACTGACCAGGGCCGGGGACAAACTGCAACTGAGGTACGCGCCCTTAGCAGGAACCGAACCCGGGTCTCTCAGGACCGCAGGCCGACGCTTTAACCGCTGAGCCAAACCGGCCAGGGCAATATACATATATTTTAAATCATGAAACACTTAATCATATCTTGAAGTCACTGTTGCTGGTCAGTTTCAAATTACCTAAATTTTCTGCTATAGCCCTGGCAAGAGGGGCTCTTCTATTAGAACAAAAATAACAGAAAATTTAAAAAACCTAACTGTACTCACCAAATGAGATAGGCTCATGTAAAGTCTTCGTTGACCCAATCATCCTCTTTCCTTCCGAGACAAGGGACATGCTCCCCCATTTCCCTCCACTTTTTTTCACCTTCCTCCCTTTTCATCCCGCCTCTTGCTTCTCTTTCCTAACAGACAGACCACATAGAATCTGTGGACCAGAATAACTCCGTTGTTTTATTTCCCCTCAAAGGATATAACCTTCCACTCCCCAAATAGCTTTGACAGTTTTCTCATTTGCTAGCTGAGGAGGATATCAAGAGACGTTGACCTTCTGGTTTTGCCTAAAGAGGGAACACTCAGTAACTATTATGCTTCAGTCCCTGATTTGCTTTCACTGTGCCCTTCCTCCCCCTCCCCATGTCCTCACCTGCCTTTCACCTTTCCTCATGAACATTCCACTCACCCAGCAGTGCACTGCTATTGCCCACAGCTCTCCCTTGCCTGGTGTGGAGATGCTATAGGGCGCATCTGCCTTCAACCCCACAGCATCCCTGCCAGCAAGAGAAAGCACAGGGCCTCTAGGAGTGTTGCTCCCTACCTAATCAGATTAGTCCCATCAGTATGAGGAGGTAGATTTTGGTGTTACTGTGCTGTCTATGGAAGGAGGAGAAATTGTCAGGCATCACTTAAAGAGCCCTGTCCCTTGGACGCCTAGGAACTGCTGAGAGAAATTAATCTTCCAGCTATTTAAGGTAATTTCTTTTCCATCATCCTTTGTCAAGAGGACTGCATTGGGAAATTGAATCTAATGGGAGTCCCTGAACTGGTACACTCCACTCAACAGCATCTCTCCAACCCTATGTGGCATCCATCATCCCACACAAGCAGAGGCATACGACATTGCTGCAGAGCCAACGTCCCACCAGTCTCCAGTTGCAAGGAGCCACGCTGCACACAGGGGATAGCACTGGGCCTAGAGTCTTGCAGTTTTCCTCCACTTCTGCTCTTCTTTCCAAAAAAACCTACCACAGATGGACCTCTTCCACTGAGTCTTGCTTTTATCCAAGATCCAGGAGAGGACAGAAATGGGGATATGCTAGAATGGAACATGGGATTATGCATTTTCTTGCCTAAACATAAGGACTCAGCTGGTGAAGAATAGGTGTCCACATTAAACAGCCAAACCAGCCCTGGCCTGTTTGGCTCAGAGGTTAGAGCATCGGCCTGCGAACTAGAGAGACCCAGGTTCGGTTCCTGCTTAGAGTATGTACCTTGGTTACAGTTTGTCCCCAGCCCCAGTTGGGGTCGTGTGGGTGGCAGCACTCGATGTGTCTCTCTCACATCAAAGTGTCTGTCTCACATCAATGTCTCTGCCTCTCTCACATTGATGTTTCTTTCTCTCTCTCCCTCTTCCTTCTTCTCTCTCTAAAATCAATAAAAGAAAAAAAAATTTAAAAATAAAAATAAATAACCAAACCACTGCCAAAACCAAGCATTAGACAGAAACAGGGCAAAGGCAGCATTGCTTCAAGACCATCTCTTCTCTCCAGACTAGCTTTTCATTCATGCACTAAGAGCCGAGGGAGTCTTATGCTCTCTGGGGTCATGTAAAAGAATTCCAATCTTCAATGTTCTTTCTATCCTCAAGGTTATTTCCCAGGGCAGTTGTTTCCAAATTGTGTTCCTTAGGTCCTGGCCAGTGGATCAGTGGTTAGAGCACTGTCCCATGCACTGAAGGGTCACAGGTTCGATTTCCAGTCTGGGCACGTGTGTGAGTTAACCGATCAATGTTTCTCCCTCACATCGATGTCTGTTTCTCTTTCTTACTCTACAGTGAAAAATATATACTCTGCTGAGGATTAAAAAAAAACACATCGTGCCCTGGCCGGTCTGGCTGGGTGGTTAGAGCATCGGCCTGCAGACCAGAGCCCCGGGTTCGCTTCCCACTAAGGGCACGTGCCTTGGTTGCAGTTGTCCCCGACCCCAAGGGTCATGTGGTGCCAGCCACTTGATGTGTCCCTCTCACATTGATGTTTCTCTCTCTCTCTCCCTCCTACTCTATCTGAAGATAAACGCAAAAATGTCCTCAAGTGAGGATTTTAAAAAAACCACATTGTGTTCCTTGGGGCTCCAAGAAGTGCCAGGGAGTATGTATGTGTAGGGGGGCCAGGGTGGAAAAGGGATATTGTGGGAAGTGGCTCCAGGGAGGGGGAAGCTCAGTGGTTGAGGCTCTGGACCCAGCTCTATTTCAATTTGATTTATTTTAAATGTTAGAATTTTTCATAAGAGTTCTTTTTGTTATTATTGTTGTTAATCCTCACCCAAGGACATTTTCCCATTGATTTTTTTTTTTTTTAGATAGAGTGGAAGGGAGGGAAGGAGAGGGGGAACAGAGACACATCAATTGGTTGCCTCCTGCTCGACCCTGACCGGGGCTAGGGATCAAACCTGCAACCAAGGTAGGTGTCCTTGACTGGGAATCAAACCCATGACCCTTTGGTACATGAGTCAACACTCTAACTGCTGAGCCAAACCAGCCAGGGCAAGAGTTGCTTTTTAAAGGAATGTTCTAATTTTTGTTGTTAATTCTCACCCGAGGATATTTTTTCCATTGGTTTTCAACAGAGTGGAAAGGAGGGAGGGAGGGGGAGAGAGAAACATAATGTGAGAAAGATACATCAATTGGTTGCCTCCTGCACGTGCCCCTACCGAGGCCAGGAATCGAACCTGCAACCAAGGCACAAGCCCTTGACTGGGAATCAAACCTTCGACCCTTCAGTGCATAAGCCGACACTCTAACCACTGAACTACACAGGCCAGGGCAAGAAAGGTTCTAATTTTTAAAAAGATCTGCAAACCAGTGTCCTAAGTGAGAGGAGGGTGACTGTACCTCTACCTCTCACACAGCTCACCGTTGGCCAATAGTTTCTCCTTGTTTCGCCTGCAGAGTAGGTCCAGGTCCACACGAGCAGCTCCCTGACTCCAGGGGCTCCTGGGACACCTTTCAGCAAGATGAATCTCCTTAGGCTCAAGAATCATTTGTTTTCCAAACTACCTCTCCAATCTCACTAATTCCCAATTTCCCTGCATTTGACAAATGGAATTAACAAACCTTGATCAGTTCCTGAACAGCCCTCATCAATCAACAAGGCGACTGACTGCACAGGCTGAGGGGGAAGGGAAAGTGTAAGGGAAGGTAGCCACAGCATGGGGAGGCGGCCTTACCCCTCTATTTCTATGAATGACCCCTCCCAACCCATCTCAAAACATGACACTGAGTTGTCACCCTCATCAACCACTTTCTTCATTCTTGCTAACTAAATACAAAGCAGTATTGTTTATGCCTTCTTCTCCCATTTTTTAAAGGTTTCTCCCGTCAACCTCCACCTTCCCTATGTCTGTCTTCTCTTTAACATAAGGCCTTGCCATCTGCTGCCACCATAGCTTGGGAACCCCCTCAGTGCTGGGCGTGATAAATCAGCCATCTCTCTGCTCTCATCAGGGCCTCTTCCCCACCCAAATGTTCCAGTGACACTTTTATGCTGCTTCCTGCCCAGGAGGATATAAGCCACCATTATCCCTCTCTGTCCCCAACACATACACACACTGGAGGGCTACCAAGCATGTGGTCACTATTGCTTCCGTATTCACCTTTTGGTCTTCTTTCCCAGGGTCCAAGCCTTCCTAATTGGTTTAAGATTCAAGATTTACCTTCTTCGCTTTTCTGCTCTGCATGTAACATCAATCCACCCTCCCCCACCACAGGGTGAGCCTTTCCTCTGCAGCTCTGCCGGTACAGCCCTGTGCATCTTTCCACCTCATCAACTTTTCATCTCTTTGCAAACGGAATCGGGAAGTCTCTCCCTCCTCCCCCTTTGTCATTAGCTTCATGAGTGGGGACATTAATGTATTCACCAGACACTGTCTTCACACCACTGTTTACTGTAATTACAGTCACTTCCCTCCCACTATCCTGGCTTATTTGACTGTAAAGTGCTTGGAGGAGGGACAGTATGAAAAAAAGACATAACACAGGCTGAGGTCGAGTAGTGTAATGTTAACATCCAAAGAAAGGAAAACCAACCATCATCTCTGCAGCAACTCATTAACAATTGTCAATGCCCCAGAGCTTAAAAAACAATCGATACAATTTGGAACCCCTCCATTATAGAATGGGGAACTGTACCCATATTACCAACAACAGTCACCCTAAGAAACGCAAGCACTACATCCACCCTCCTTCAGGGGGTAGATCCACTGTACTTTTCATGTAGATCAGCTACGTTATCACTGGAGACTCGGATCCAGCCATCCTCACGGACATGATAGAGGTTAACGGAGCCTCCTGAATAGGCATCTCTATAGGTGGCTTGGTAGATGGCTCGACGGGCCAGATCATAGGCCTCTTCCACCTCTAGGTCATAGGAGTAACCCCGATCCATGACCCCATATGCATACACAGAGCCAGAACCTACAGAGAAGGTTACCCCCGAGATCCGATTTCCTTCACTGTCCACGTAGTAGAGGCCTAGAAAGAGAGATGAGGTTAGCAGAAAACAAACAAATTGACCACCCCTTTTGACATCTAATTCACTCTCTAAGGCAACAGATCATCATCATTCTTTTTTTTTTTTTTTTTTGGTATATGCCCCTAGTAGGAATCAAACCCAGGACTCGCTGGTCTGCAGGCCAACACTCCAACCACTGAGCCAAACAGGCCAGGGCGATCATCATCACTCTTTAAATCCAAGGGAGACCAACAGAAGTACAAGGGAAAAAAAACACTATTATAAAATTACTTAAAAAAAAAAAAGCCCAAGGAATCAAATTAAATATTAAGATCTCAGGATTCTACAACATACCAACCCATCTCACCTCACATTGTAGTAACTGCCCTGTCTGTCCTCTCTGTACAATAAAAAAAAGCAAGTATAATTCAAATGACTTAGGTTTAAAGCACAGAACTTCTGTGGAAAATAATATTTAAAAGAATCCTAGCCCTCAAAGTTTAAACTATCTGGGGCACAAGACATATATCACACAGTAGAGCATAAAGCCTAGAGGTTCAAATCATATTGTAAAGACCTGCACTGTCCAATGTAGTAGCCACTAGCCACATGTGACTGGTGATGTCCCAGTTTGATTCCCAGTCGGGGCACATGCCCAAGTTGCGGGCTCAATCGCCAGTATGGGGTGTGCAGAAGGCAGATGATCAATGTTTCTCTCTCATCAATGTTTCTATCTCTCTTTCCCTCTCCCTCCTCTCTATCTAAAAAAAATCAATTAAAAATATATTTTTAAAAATTACACGTATGGCCCGGCTGATATGGCTCAGTGGTTGAGCATCAACCCATGCACCAAGAGGTCACCAGTTCGATTCCTATGCAGGGCACATGCCCAGATTGTGGGCCTGATCCCCAGTGGAGGGCAAGCAGAAGGCAGCCAATCAATGTTCTCTCTCACCGATGTCTCTATCTCTCCCTCTTCCTTCCTCTCTCTAAAATCAATAAAGAAAAAAAGAATAATTACATGTGTGGCTCACATTTTATTTCTATTACACAGCGCTGGTATAGATCAAGGGTTGGCCAGGTTCACTGCTTGTTTTTGTAAATAAAGTTTTATTGGAACACAGCCACACTCACTTATGTACATATCATTATTATTATTATTATTTTTGGTATATGCCTCTAGCGGGAACCCAACCCGGGACTCTCTGGTCCGCAGGCCGATGCTCCAATCGCTGAGCCCAACTGGCCAGGGCTGTGCAGACTATTTGTAACTGCTTTTGTGCTAAAACAGGAGAGTTAAGTAGTTGAGACAAAGACCATATTGACTGAAAGCCTAAAATATTTATTACTTGGCCCTTTATGAAAAAGTTGGCTGACCTCTGGTATAGCTGAAAATTTAGACAAAGATTTTTATAAAATTTGTATCAATTCCAACTGCCTTTGTCACTAAGTTCAGATTCAAACATCCTTTCCTCAAATACTATCAACAGTTCTCTATTACCTACCAAACTCATCTCTCTTATGCCCCACCAAGACACAATTCTTCCTGTAATTTCAAATTCTGCCAATGGTTTCACTAATCTTTTTCCTATTTTAGTGGTTCTCAACTCTTATTGTGCATTAGAATCATCTAAAGAAGCTTTTAAAAAAGATGTCTAGGATTTAATCCAGGTGTTCTTTTTCAATAGGTCTAGGGTGGGGGATCAGCACAGGGTTTTTTTAAGTTCTTCAGGTAATCTAATGAAAGCCAGGTTGAGAACCACTGCCCTTATCAATTTTCAGGTTCAGCTGGTTCTAATGGCTACCCTAATTTATTTCCTCCTCAGTCCTACTGCCTTGCTTAGTTTGCTCACCATCTGGTTCCAGCTTACCTTTCTGGCTTTATGGATCACTACTTTTCAATACCTTTAGTTCCAGTGAAACTGGACTTCTAGTTACTCTCCACAAAACTTCAAGCTTCTCCTTTCCTTAGTTCATTGTTTCCATCCTCTCCTTGTCACATCTTGGACAACTGCAACCTATCCATGAAGTCTTCCTCAACTCTTCCCATCAGAAGTAATCCCCTCCTCCTCAAAAATCCTTCAGCATTTTATTGGTTCTTTAAAAAATAGTATTCATCTCATTCAGCCTTGTATTAAGTAATTTGTAATCCCTTCTCAGTCTGCTTCTTGAAGCAAAGAGCTGACTCATCCTGAATGGGACAGGTTGTTAGGAGGGCTTTGAGAAGGTACAATTTAAGTTATGCTCTAGCTTCCTACGTTTTTCTTGCTAGCCAGCTTCTGTACACTCACACTATTTCCATCACCTATAACAAACCAAGTAGCTAAGGGTTCAAAGCGGCATTTCCAAGATGCTTCCCTGGACCACACATACAGCCGTTCTTTCACACCTTTCAAGAGAAAAATGACTCAATTTCCAAAGTTACAAACTGAGCTCTTCTCATATCTTTTCATCTCCTCATTCATCCTTCATTGAGGAGCAATTCTCCAAAGTGAAAAAGTGGTGGTATCCATAGATGTTTGACAGAGGAACACTAGGCATTTAGTAAGCAGATAAATGAACAAAGCAAAAACAATAGGAGGAAAAAAGAACTATTTTTAAGCATCAAGGGGGAAAATTACACAGAAAGTCACTAGCTGTATTCCAGCTTGACTATAGGAACATTCTAAATTGGCTGAGAAGGAGCTGATATCAGATATAAGGCTGAACTTCCTGACAAAGTTTTTACATACTGAAAAGGAAACTAGGCTAAGAAATTTCTTTTCAGTGATGACAGAACAAGACCTAGGGTGAATATATCAAGCAAGGAAAGAAGATGTACATCAAGGCCCCTTCTAGGCCCAAGACTCTTAAAGGGGAAAAAAATGAGGAGAAATGACTAACTTTTGAGTGGTTATTTCCTATACACTAAGAGTTTTGGGTCCAATACGGTAGCTACTAGCCACATGTGGCTAATGAGCACTTGAAATGAGGCTAATGCCACTTGTGGAAATATTTTAGGTATTTTGGATGAAATGAATTGTTAAAATTAATTTCACCTTTTTCTTTTTACATTTTTAATATATCCATCAGAAAAAAAATCACACGTGTGGCTCACATTAGATAATACTGACTAGAGTTTTTTTGTTTTTGTTTTTTTATCCTCACCTGAGGACATTTTTCCATTTTTTGTTCAGATAGAGCGGGAGGGAGATAGAGGAAGAGAGAGAGAGGAAGAGAGAGAAAAAGAGAAACATCGACGTGAAAGGGACACATCGAGTGGCCGCCACCCACACAACCCAACCAGGGCCGGGAAAAACTGCAACCGAGGTACATGCCCTTAGTGAGAACCGAACCTGGATCTCTCCAGACCGCAGGCCAATGCTCTAACCACTGAGCCAAACTGGCCAGGGCCTGACTAGAGTTTTATGTCCATTATTATGCACTTCAATTCTCAAATACACTCTTTGTAGGTCTTATTATTTTATGGGAGACAAAATAGAAGCAAAAACATTGTGTGCCAGAAACGACATGTTTTGTGTATATTACCTCATTTAACCAACATAACAGATGATGAAACAGATAACTGAGAAAATAAGCAACCCAAGGTCACATGGGTAGTTAGTGAAACAGCTGGTCTAACTCCATGCCCTTTTGTACACTACAGTGTCATTCTTTAACAAAGAGAAGGGTTGAGAAAGTAATCAACCATCCTCAGCAATGATCTAAAGCCTTTTCTTTCACTCATCTGTTCATCCAACCCCTCCTCCCTGTAGTGTCAGCCCAAGAATTATGTGGTTGAAGCTTAACTCACCAGGGCCTCTCTTATCCCAGCCACAGATCATGGTGCCCATGGACAGCCCCATGCCTTTATACTGATACACCATGTTGGCGAGCAGCTTGGAGGCAGCTGCTACTGAGATGCGTTCCTTGTTTCGAAGCTCATAGATTCGACACTGCCGAGCCAACAGCCGCTCCCAGAAACTGCAGTCTGCTGCGCCCCCCGCCATGGTGCCTAGCAGGTAGGGGTTGATCTCTATCACCTTCTTTACTGTCTGGGAGGCAATGTAGGCACCTGCTGTGGCCCGGGAGTCCGCTGCAACAATGACTCCATGTTGAAACTGTTAAGATCAAAGGAAAACATAAAACAGGCCACATCAGACCATAAAAACATCTTTTTGACATTTCTTTTTGCATCAATGCAAACCCAGAACATCTCTTTCTCTATCTGTTTATACTTCACAATACACCAGCAATTTGCAACCGGTGTGTCACAAGAATTTTTGAAACATACAATACCTATTTAGTCAGGGGCACTGACTGACCTCTCTTCCCTTAGACTGTCAAATAAAAGTATGACAACAGTTAACACAATAGCCATCCGGTATGAACGAATCAAAATTATACCTATTTTTTTGGTCAGATCGACAAAAATTATATTTTTTGGTGTGCTGCAGAATTTTAGTAGTTTATGTGTACCATGAGATGAAAAGGTTTAAAATCGCTGCCATATACCTTTCCACATATTAATGTCACTTGAGCTTCACATCAATACCGTGACATAGGTATAAACAGTATTTCTTTTGCTTTTATGGATGAGCAAACAGCTTTAATGAGATAGATTGACTTGCTCAAGATCGTAGAGCTAGTTATTGCAAAGCTGGGCCAGGAATCCCTCTAGCCTGGCTCCTAGCACAGAGCTGCTTCCCAAGATTCCCCCCTTGTCATAGCGCTTTGGTTACCCTCGCCTAGAAGAAGAGCCAATTTCCAAAACCTTTGGTGGTTACAACTGCCTTTCCTTTAAGGAAGTTCCTTGTTGCTGCAGCCTCCCCTTTTCTGGAAAGAAGCTGCCTGACGTCGCCTGGGAATGACCCAAGCTGCCTCGGGTTCTTTCTCCCTCTTATCCCCCGCCCCACCGCCACCCCTTCCGGCCAGCGCGAGAACCGAGGCCTCCCGGGGCAATGAGACAGCAAAGCCACCGGGGTCCGGACGAGAGGCCTGAGCCTTCGCTTGGGTTTCGTGGCCGCGGCCACTGTGGGCTTCGGTCCGGGAAGGGCGCGGGCGCGCGGGGTTCAGTCCGGCTCGGCTGCTGGGTTCGCACCTTGAAGGCCAGGGTGGTGGTTCCATGAAGTATTTCGATTCTCGGCTCCTCTGGGGCACCCCAGCTGGGCGCGGCCAGGTTCAGCTCATCACTGGGACTACCTGGACCCAGGTCCGACAGATCTGCACGACCTCCGAGTCCGAAAAACCCTGGCCGGTTCACCGGTAGCGAGCTCTCCAACACACTGGCCAGCGCCATGACTAGTAAGGGCAAAAGGAACCGCCTCCGGGAACGCCTAGCAGATAGCGGCCGGGCAACGCCTTGCCGTCACAGCTTCACTTCCTATTAAATCGCAGGAAGAAGCCATTTTAACTCCTGGCAACCACGCCTCCAAAAACAAGAGCTCGACGCAAGGGAACATTTTAGCCGACCGGGAAAAAATAAATAAATGGCTTCACTATCCTTAAATTCTAAAGGGATATGCCTACCATTTTAGGTTTTGTCATGCAAGCAGTGCTGGATTAGATTAATCTCAAATGTCTAGGAAGCGATCGGAAACGTCCATGCTGAGTGAGGGAAGTGAGGCCGGCCATCTTTGAGAAGGGCGTGACTGGTTAAAAATTGGTTCTGAAACCTTAACTGTAAGTTGTCCCCGCCCAGCCAGGTGTCCAAACACCGCTTTACATCTCTACTGCTTCAGCACCCTATTAAGGCGGCTGGAATTGCCACTTTGTTTTACCGGATAAAATAATGATCTACTCTGAGGTCATTTTCCTATGAAGTTAGTTAAACCACATTTGCTTGTGATAAAAGCGCAGCAAAATAAAAGTGCTATATCTTTTGTTTGATAGCGTTAATCACCACACTACCCACTTTCTCTAGCAGTAACTAATTTTTAAGATTCAGTATTCTCTTTACGCCCACCCTCTGGTGGAAATGCTAATAAGTAATGATGTGCCCCAAAGGCAGATAGAAGAATGAAGAAGGAAAAGCAAAAGGCCTAGTTAATCCACAAGCTAGATTCTTACTTCATCTCCAGAATAACTGAGTCTTTTACCATCTCAGAGGCTAGGGGAGAGTTGGGGCTCCATATCAAGAGAAAAAAAAAAGCGGGGTGGGGGGGCATGGGAGATTTACCTAGAGGTTCTCTAACTGAAGGTTGCCAAGATAAGCTCTTTATTCAGGAATGCACTATGTTTCATTGTCTCTCCCTCTTTCTACCATCTTCAGTTTTCAAACCTTTTGGGAACCATAACAAGCAAGGAAGTGGTCAAAGGTATGAAATGTTGCCTCTTGCTTTATGGTTTTATGAAATCAGTGTCTGGCTTTCCTTGTTGGATTCCAGCAGCAACCACCATCAGTATCTGAATTCTGCGTTCCTCTGATGCCCAACTCAGCCCCTTCTCTTCCCCAGCAGATTCTGCACGTGTTGTATTTTTAATGCTGAAATTTGGCAACCCTTTCCAAGCCAAACCATCAGAATGTAATGAAGCAGAAGATCTTTATTCATGTCTCACACTTGTATGGTACTGAGCAGGTATTATTTTGCAGTCATTTGGCAATGCAACTAGCGCTCCTTCTGACTTCTCTCAGCGGTTCTTTTACTCTGCCACTAATAGCATTTGTACTTCTCTTTAAGGCACTTTCACATTTTACCTAGTTATAAATGTACATTTATCTCTACTGGATTGTGAGCTTTTTAAAGACAGGTACTTCTCTATTATTCATCTATGTGCCCAGTGTGTGCTTAATACATGTTTGCCAAATGAATACATGAAAGCATGACAACAATGTTCCAGTCACAGAGGCTTGAAGTCCTGGCTCAGCTTTGACAGCTCTCCTTCCTTTCCTCCACATCCAGTAAGTTGCCAAGTCCTGCTGATTCTTCCTCTACGGTGCTTCCCACCTTCTTTTCATTGCAGCTAATACCACCTTTGACTTATCTCCTTACTCCTGGATTATTGAAATATTTTCCTAACTGACTTTCTAGGCCAAAACTGTACATTCTAATTCTTTCTGCACAACACCAGAGAGGTTTTCATAAAACACCATCTTAATCTTATCGCTTGTCTGTCTGCTTAAAAATGTACTGTGAAGTTCAGCTCGCCAGCATGACATTCAAGGCCTTCCTTGATCAGTTCCTAATTTACCTTACCTTGGTTCTCTGCTCCACAGTCTCTACTAATGGGACCACAAAAGGGGAGGTATAAATGATAAGTGCTGCTATTGGTGGGAATGTTAATTGAAACAGCTACTTTGGAAAACAGTGTGGAGGTTTCAACAAAAGTTAAAAATAGAACATATGATCCAGCAATCCCACATTTGGGTATTTATCTGAGGGAAATTAAATCACTATCTCATAGAGATATCTGCACCCCAGTATTCATTGTAGTATTATTCACAATAGCTAAGACCTAGAAACGACTATATATTTGAATATTATTCAGCCATAAGAAAGAAAAAAACTTTGCCATGTGTGACAACATGAATGAACTTTGAGAACATTATACTAAGTGAAATTAATCAGACAAAGACAAATACTGTATGGTCTTATATATATATATGTGAAATATAACAAAGCCGAACTCGTAAAAACAGAATAAAGTTGTGGTTGCCAGAGCCAGGGATTAAGGAAATAGGGAGATATTGGTCAAAGGATACAAACTTCCAGTTATAAGAGGAATGAGTCTAGGAATTTGTTATTTTTTTTTTTTTCCTCACCCGAGGACATTTTTCCATTTTTTGTTCAGATAGAGTGGGAGGAAGAGAGAGGGAGAGAGAGAGAGAGAAACATCGATGTGAAAGGGACACATCGAGTGTTTGCTACCTGCACTATCCAGCCAGGGCCAGGGACAAATCGCAACCAAGGTACATGCCCTTACCAGGAACGGAACCCCGGTCTCTCCGGACCGTAGGCCGACGCTCTAACCACTAAGTCAAACCGGTCAGGGCGAGTCCAGAGATTTAATGTACAACACGATGGCTATAGTTAATGGTATTATATTGTCTACTTGAAAGTTGCAAAGAGTAGGTTTTAAAATATTCTCACAATAACAAAAATACTAATTATGTGCAGTGAAGGATGTGTAAACTAACCTTATTGTGGTAAACATTTTGTAATATATATGTATTAAATCATCACATTGTACACCTTAAATTTATACAATGTTATATGTCAATTATATCTCAATAAATGGAGGTGATGATAAATGCTATGAGTTCCTAGGTGGGAGAGGAGGTCAGTATAGACTTGGGTGAGGTTGGGGTCCAGGAAGGTTTTGCCAAGGAGGTCTGGATTCATTTCCCTAAATACCATTGGGGCCCCATTGCTCCTCAAACTCACATCTCTCCTCTCTCAATCATACCTGGGAAGAATTTTCAGAATAGGTGCTACTTAAGCCAGATTTTGAAGGATAGAATTCAAATAGATGAAGGGGAGGTAGGAGATAGTGTGAAAAGAGGTTGTGGTGGATGGATTAGGATTGGACTATCATGGGCCTTAAATGCCAGCCTAGGGTGGAGAGGTGGTTTGGATTTGATCTTGTAGCCCTTCAAGTTTTCTTAGTAGAAGAGACATAGGATTTGAGTGATATCTTAGGAAAATATTTCAGTGTGGAGGATAAGTTTAGATGGGGAGATTGGAGGGTGGCCAATTATGAGGCCATTCAACTGTCCAGATCTGACTTGATAATGGCCTGACCTAGGGAGGTGGCAATTCATGCATATAGAAAGAGTCTAAGACTTCGTCTTTAGAAAGAGGAGACATCCTGATCTCTCTCTTTTTCTCTCTCTTTTTTTTTATCTGCAGATAGAGTGGGAGGGAGAAAGGGAGAGAGAGAAAAATATCGATGTGAGAGGGACACATTGACTGATTGCCTCCGCACGACCCTGACCAGGGCCGGGGACAAACCACAACCGAGGTATGTGCCCTTGGCTGGAATTGAACTTGCGACTCACTGGATGGCGGGCTGACGCTCTACTGCTGAGCCAAACTGGCCAAGGCCATTCTGATCTCCTTAGTAAGATTTCCATGTGGTCCTACACAAAGGAAGGGAGAAGGACTGGTTAGACCTTAGCTTGACCTCCTGGTTTCTCCAGCCTTCCCTTAACATGTTTATAGTTGCCCTGGCCAGTATGGCTCAGCGGTTAGAGTATCGGCCCACGGACCAGAGAGACCAGGGTTTGGTTCCTGCTAAGGGCATGTACATCTGTTGCAGTTTGTCACTGGCCCTAGTGGAGGTCGTGTGGGTGGCAACCAGTCGATGTGTCTCTTTCACATCAATGTTTCTCTCTCTCTCTCCCTCCCACTTTATCTGAAGATAAATGCAAAAATGTCCTCAGATGAGGATTAAAAAAACATATATATATTTATATATATATTTGATATATGTTATTCTTCAGTCTGAGGGCCAACGCTCTAACTGCTGAGCCAAACCGGCCAGGGCAGATCTGTTTCTTTGAATAAACCCATCCCCACAGCCCCCTTTACGCTGCAGTGTTTAGTACAATATATCCCATGTAGCACTAGAAATAGCTGCAGCTTGTCATTCTGCTTTTTCTGCTTTGTCTTTCTGAAGGGCCAGCTGTCAGGGTCCACCAACTTCATGCCTCAACCACCCTTGGTTGGTCTAAGACTTCGACTCAGCATTATGGGGTCCAAGTCAGTCATTTCTCCTGCCTTGGAACTACAAACTAGTCTCTTGCCATTGTGAACTCTTGGACAGAAGGGGAACCATTAGATTTTTTTGAGCTACTTACTCAGAACTCTAATACAAGTCAGAGAAGCTATACCGCTGGAGAACTGTCAGGAATGCCACCTTTGTATGCAGATGGAGGTTCATATTCACCCCAAAGAAGAGGAGAAAGAGAGCCCTAGACTAAAGTTTCCCTGAGCCCTGGCCCCTCAGTACCTGGCCTTTCCAAAAGGTATTTGAGTCTCCCCCATCCCCAGACTCTCTTACTCTTTTCTCTTTTGTCCTTGTCTCAGTCTATTTCTCTTTTCCCACCTTGACATTTTCACAAGGTGAAAATGTGAGCTCAGGGAGCATCATAGTTCCCTGGCCCCATACTTCTGAGGGGAGAACCCCATATTCAAAACTCCTGTCTCCGTGGGGCCACAGCACCCTATTCTGACTACCCGAGAGGACTGACGTGTCTTTATTCATCCCCCTAGGCTGGGAGATCTTTCAGGGCAGGGACAGAAAAGACAAGAGGATCCCAGCTCTGTTCCTTTTGTTCGCACCTCCTTTCCTTTGAAGTTACTCCTACTGCACCTTGCTCCAGGTGCTTGGAGGATGACAGACAGGAGACTCCTTGGGTGAAGCTCAAGTGTGTCAGGGGCAGCGTCTTCCCAGTGCTGGAGACTCCACCGGCCTCTTCCTGTCTCCCCTCAGTGGTCCTCTGCGGAGGAGGGGCTGCTCCAACAGCCCATCCCCAAGCCTAATTTGGGGTTAGGGAGAAGTGAAGCCACAAATCACATGCCTCCCTTGCCAATTCTGGCCGCAGCCCAGCTTTTCCTTAGCGTCCCTCTTCCCCCACCCGACCCAGCCCACAAATCCCTGTCTTGCTCCTTCCAACCTTCACTCAGCCCCAGGGATGGCTCTGCAGGACGTGTGTAAGTGGCAGGCCCCGGACACCCTGGGACTATCACCTCACCTGTCTGCTGCTGGTGGCTGGGCTGTGCCCCGAGGCTGTGACCCTCAAACCTTCTTGCAGACCCATGGCCCCAGGCTGGCCCACGGCACCACCACCCTGGCCTTCCGCTTTCGTCACGGAGTCATCGCTGCGGCTGACACCCGTTCCTCCTGCGGCAACTACGTGGCATGTCCAGCTTCACGCAAGGTCATCCCTGTTCACCAGCACCTCCTGGGCACCACTTCTGGCACCTCCGCTGACTGTGTCACATGGTACCGGGTGCTACAGCGGGAGCTGCGGCTGCGGGCATTGCGAGAGGGCCAGCTGCCCAGTGTGGCCACTGCCGCCAAGCTCTTATCAACCATGATGTCCCGCTACCGGGGGCTGGATCTGTGCGTGGCCACTGCTCTCTGTGGCTGGGACCGCTCTGGCCCTGCCCTCTTCTATGTCTACAGCGACGGCACCCGCCTGCAGGGGGACATCTTCTCAGTGGGTTCTGGGTCTCCCTATGCTTATGGTGTGCTAGACCGTGGCTACCGCTACGACATGACCACTCAGGAAGCCTACGCCCTGGCTCGCTGCGCTGTGGCCCACGCTACCCACCGCGACGCCTACTCTGGGGGTTCTGTAGACCTTTTTCATGTGCGAGAGAGTGGGTGGGAGTACGTGTCACGCAACGATGCCTGGGTGCTGTACTCAGAGCTGCAGAAGCTCCCAGAGCCCGAGAAGCAAGAGGAGGAGGCCAGCCAGGCCCATCTTGAACCTGTCACCCTCCACAGAGCTGATGAAGGTGGAGAACTCTCTGCAGACTGGTACCAGGAGACTCCAGGCTCCCTGCAGAGACTGAGACTCTGTAAGAAGCAGCAGGACTTGGGGGAACCCAGTGCAGGGAGTGGGTGAAGGATGGGGTGTGAGCAGCCTCCCAGCCTCTGGGTCTAGCCCTTGTGAGTGGCCTGTTTCATTTGTTCCAAGTCTCCCTCTCTTTCTGCTATTAATGGTTTGTCCAGCATGTTCCTGTTGACGCCCAATAGATTGGTCCAGCCTCCTTCTCAGCGCCAAGTCTTTCTTTCAGCAAATCCTTATTGCTTGCCTGCTGCCAGACGCTGTGCTAGGCGCTAGACCCTCTTTTCTTGCCATCCTCTTTCCTGCTTCTCCCACCCTATCCCTGATCTTCCTTCCTCCCGTTTTAGTCCTCGGCTCAGCCTCAGAGTCTGTCATTTTCTCAGCTTGGTGAGGTGGGGCAGTCGGGGGGGGGGGGGGGATGAGGTGGGGGGTAGCCCAGAGGGCTGGAGGGGCAGGGCAGTGCATTATGGGCTCCTGGTGGGTGGTGATGGGCTTCTCACCTTCTCACCTCTGCTCCCCCCACCCCAATTTCATTCTAATGACTATAATGATCAGTCCTTTACTGAGTGCCGTTCTCATGGTAACTCTCTGAGGTAAAAATTATCCTCACTATGGAAGAGGAAACCTTGCTTGAGGTCACACAGTAAGTGGCACAGGGGAAGCTGGGACCCCGACCTTCAGCTCCAGAGCAAAGTTCCTTTAGTTGGCTTTTCCTCCCAGGTCCCCTCACGGACTTTCCTCTCTGCCGCCAGGATAGAGCCCCGCAGGCATCTGGGGAGGGAGGTGGGGGAGAGGCTGGGCCAAGCCCATGCCTGGTGGCCAAGGACGACTGAACCTAGCGAACCCTGAGGGCCTGGAGGGGTGAGCTTCATGTGCCCCACCTGCCGGGGCCTGGGACCATTGCCGTGGCTCACCTGTGCCCTGCTCTTTTGGGTCTGTCGTTGCTGTCATCTTCCTCCTTTCTGCCCCTGCCCCTTCTTCCCTTTGCCTTCCTTCCGGCCTGTCCTTCCGGAAGCTCCCTCTGGGGAACGTAGGAAAGAGGGAGGTGGCTGTGCCAGTGGGAACTGTCAGGTTGGCAGGCTTCTCCTGCCCCTCCTGGCTGCTCCCTGCTCTCTCGTAAGCCCTGACTCGGAGATGCAGGCTGACAGCTCTGGGAAGGACACCTCCCGGCCCCTTTCCCCTCCTGGCTCTCCTCCTAGCCCCCAGCCCGTCCCTGAGGCCCAGCCCTGCACCTCAGGCTAAGGGTTCCTGCAGGCAGGAGCTGGCCAGACAGGGGCGTGGGGAGACCGGGAGAGGGGACGCAAGGTCGGGGAGCCCCAAGAAGGAAAGCAGTGGGGATAGAGGGGAGGACATTGTGATTGGGAAAAGGGGCCACAGAAAGGTGCCCAGTACAGGACGACTGGCCTTCGAGCCAGGGTCCAGAATCTGGCCAGTGGCCTCCACAGCAACCCTTCTGCACCCCTCATCCACTCCCCAGCCTCAGGGAAGGAGAGGCTGACTCTGGGAAAGATAACTGGAGGTCAGGGATCCTGGCCAGCATATTCCTGGAGGAACTTTGGAGGAAGGGCAGCTTTGCCCAGGGTTCAAGTGTTTGATGGACTTAGGCATAAGAGGGTGCATCTCCATGTGCAGGGACGTGTGTGTCCCGATGTGAGCGATCCAGGATTGGTGTGTGCATGTGAGTGTGGCAGGGGGTGTATGTGCAGTTCCCATGTGCAGAGCCATACTGGAAAAGGGGCAACACCCGGATGAGGAAAGCAGGCCCTTATTGGGGAGAAAGCCAGGCTCTGTCACTTCTTTTGGGAAAATGTTCCAGAGGAAAGAGGAGATGGGGTCAGGGCTGATCCTGCCGGTTCACTAGGTTCACTACACCGCATCCTCCCACCCCTACCCGGGGGCCTTGGGAGAGAGAAATGCAGGGAGGGAGTGGTGTCTGGAGCCTGGGGTTGCCACCTGAGCCCAGCCAAAGGCTTCCGGTGAACTGCATGCAGCTCAGTCTCCTGGGATGTTCTGCGCCTTTCACTTCCCATAAAACAGGAGGGAGGATGGAACCCAGACAAAGAGGGCAGAACAGCAGAGGAGCACTCCTTCTTGTGCCTCCTTTTCCCTCTGCCTCTCCCCTTTCCTTTTCCTTTCATGCTTGCCCCTCTCACTCCTTTGACAGGTTTGTCCTTCCAGATGATGAGATATGTGAGACCAGAGATAAGCCCAAGGGTCTTGCTGCGAAGCCTTTTCCCCATGCCCTGTTTTCCCCCTCTAAGTTTAACAAGTTGGGGAGGACCAGAGGAAGATGCTAGGGAGGGCTGGAAGGCGGGCATCCAGGTAGGCGCACCCCTCACTGCCTAGGAGTGGCCCACAGTGAGTCCCTCCTTTTCTCCACTTATTCCTGAAGGTTTGGTGCAGATATCAAAGTGAGACCAAAGGGGTGGAGATTTTGCCTGTCCTGCTCTGAACTGGAAGACCTGTTCCTCTGACACCCTGCTTGGTGTGCTGCCTCCTAACCATCTCCGGAGGCCTTCAGGGGACAGACATTCTGCTCTTGCACAGGCCTTTGGGCACTCAGGGGTCCAGTTGCAGCCTTCAGCAGAGGAAATGACAATTCCAGCACTGGAACAAGGGACCCTGTTGTCCCACCCCCTGGTTCCCTTAACCAAGCAGGTGTGGAAGGTGTAAGAGAAGGTATCTTCCCATTAAAGCAGTTTTCCTGGTTGCCTGCACCCTACACTTGGAGGGGAGGGACCCAGGACCTGTCTTGACTCATCTACTCGAGTCTTCAGGAGACTTAGGAGTGGGTGCTCATGCTGATTCCTGGGTGGACCCCCTCTCTGCTCAGGGAGTGGGCACTGAGAGATGCTGTTGCTCTCACTCAGCTCACACCCCAGTTGGCTTTGATCCTGTCTCGCTGGTCCTCCTCCTTTTTGATCCATGAAGAATAAGACAATGGAGTGGGGGGAGTTAAAGGCTGGGCAGCAGGCCCAGATTCAGTGTGACTCTGCCATCTCACGCTGGCCTACCCTTCCCCAGTGGGCACCACAGGCCCCAAGAGAGACTGATTGCCCGCCACCGACATGTTTTCTTAGTCTAGAGTCCCTCTTCCTTTCTTCTTAGCCTTTCATCTCTCCTCCTCTCTTCTTGGTAGCCCTCATTCTCTACTTCTTCCTCTCCTCTCTGGCCAGTCCCCCACATCTTAATTTGAGGACAACAGAGAACCCAAAGAACAGGTGGTGGGAGTGAGGCACAAGTCATTATTTCCTTACTCCCTGAATGGAACCAACCCAAACCCTCTATCCAGAGGGACTTGGAGTGGACTGCCCCTCAGAGGAGAAAGAATGAGCCAGAGGGAATAGGCTTAGGTCTCTTCTCCTGCCCCTTGGCACAGTGAAGCCCCATACAGAAACCTGAGTTCAAAAACAGAACAGGGCTCCAGCTTTACAAAATAAAGTGTTTGTTTATTATGAAATTAGAGATGGAGGCCCCTCCCCTTCCTCCCTCTTTCCCCTTCCCCAGCTGCCTCCCCTTTTCCTTCCCCTCCCCTCCCGCTGGGGCCTGGGAAGCACATAAGATAATGCCCAAAGCTGGGATGCCAACAGCTGGGCAGAGCTCCTGGGAGGCAGCCAAGTGTGTGTGTGGGGGGTGCTCGCGCTCTCCCCTGTGTCGGGGGAGGTGGGCTGGCTCCCTCTCTCTGCTGGAGGCCCGTAGAGCCAGGATGAGGCCATGAGTGATGGATGGAACCATGCGGGAAGGTCTGTAAAGACAGGAGAGACCAGTTAGAGGTAGTGAGTGGGGGAGGGCTTCGGGCCACCTGTGCCCCATACAGTATAGGGGCACTGACCTGGGGCAGAACATCCCCTGCAGGAAGATGGGCAGCAGTGGCTGGAAGTTTCTTTCGCTTTTGGGATGGACAACGGAAAAAAACAAAAAATCCAGTCACAGGGGCCCGGAGAAAAATGGGGGCAGATGTGGGCAGGCGACAGACACAGCATGGGGGGGGGGGGCAAGGGAGACAGAGAGAGCATGTGTGAGAGATTTAGAATCTGAGAGACAAAAATAGAGCCACGGAGAAGGTGGAATCACAGTGACAGAACAGAGAGACTCAGAGTCAGAGCCACACAACCCAGAGCCAGACAGTGTTACAGAGACAGAGATCCCTGGAGAGAGACACAGAAGACTCAAGAGGAGGGAGGTAAGAAGACTGTTGCCCTGGGGGAGCCAGGAGGACAGACACAGGGAGGGGAAAAGGCTTGGGACCCCTGGGCTGCTGCCGCCTGCTTGGACCCCTGGGGTTCACTCAGATGGCCTGTGCGGGGCTACCCCACCATGGCCGGCAGGGAAGCCCGGCTCCTAGGGGCCCGGGGGCTCCTTGGCCCCATACAGCTCGGCCAGGGTGCGGAAGAGCGGCCCCCAGTCGTCCAGAGGCTCCGCGGGGCCAGGGGCGCCGCCGGCCTCGGAGCCCAGGGAGCTGAGGGAGCCACAGGACGAGCCCAGGCCCTCGTAGCCGTACACCTGCACCGAGTCGTAGGGCGGCACGCTGGGGTCCTCGTCGGCCTCGCGGAGCCGCAGCGCCAGGAGCTGCGCCACGTCGGCGGGGCCGGGGGGCCGGGGCTGGCGCGGCGCGCGGGCCCGGGGCAGCACGTCCCGGCGCGCGGGCGGGCCCAGGGCCGGCAGGGCCGCCCCGTCGGGGTTCTGAAGGGCGCTGATGTCGAAGGCCTCCGTGTCCTCTTCGCCGCCGCCCTCATCGTCGTAGGTGATGATGTTTTCGCGGACGTCCTCCTCCTCCAGCACCATCAGTGCTTCCTGCTTCTGGCGCCGCAGGGCCACGAAGAGCACCACCAGGGCTGGGGGACAGGCCACACAGGCGGCTGAGACAGCGTCCGGCAGGCAGAGGGTTGGGGGACAGAGGAGGCAGAGTGGCCTAGGGGTGGCGAGCCCGAGGTTTGACATCTGGCAAATCTCGTGTGAATCCAGACTTCACCCTTACTCGCTGTGTGAGCATGGGAAGTTGCCTAACTTGTCT